CCTAGGTTCCCACAAAGACTGATAGAATACACAAACATACGGCAGCGACACTGAATGGGAGAGTGCCAATGTCTTACCGTTACTTGTTCCTTATGGTTCTATCCTTGCCACGGTAGAGGCCAGTGGCGTGGCGTGATTTGCGATATATCGATTGATCTGCCGTTTTAATCTATAGAATAGGATCGATAAACCAATTGCTCGCAACGAGCACCTTGATACTCGATTCTTTATCTCAGCTTCAAATGGGGAAGTATCGATAATCGATCATTCACGTCTCGCCACTGACAGAGACCAAGATATTTTTAAACGTGCAAAAAGTTTGTCTTAAAACTGAATAAATACACCAAACCGTGTAATTTGAGTGAAATTGACGGCGATTTAAGCTAAGAAAAACTTTTTTCTATGATCTGAAGAATCTGCATACAATATAACCCGTTTTTTAGAGATCCTAGACAGCCCCATTAAGCTCAAGATCACTGAGCCAATTAGAAATACCGCCACAAAGTAAAAAAAAGTAACCAAAATTCTGTGTTAACACGGGAAATAAAACACAAAGTAACACAAGCTGTTGGTTAATTGTTTTCTTTGTTAATCTTCCATGTCAAATCGACCAAATCTTTGGGTTGAAAGGACCAAATCCTTGTATTGACATTCTGCGACCTCGTTAAAAATTAGGTATCATCAGCTAGGATCAAACTTGGAGCCCATTGGTGGAATTCCAATGCGCTAGCCACTCGCAAGTCACAACATCTGAGTATGCTGCCATGCTAAGGAAGAACGCCGTATGAGCCTTCAAACGTTGCCAAGTTTCCTTCGCTAAAAACCGAATTTACCGGAAGAATTGTGAATTTTCGCCCCCAAAATTTTCAGGCAATTTTGCACGTAATTTAATCTAAAATATCTGAAAATTTCAAGGAAAAGTGTGCATGAATGTCGCCAAAAATACATGTTTTATTTAGGGAAATCCGGCAACCTTCGAATGTTCATACGGCGTTTTTCCTTAGCACGGCGTGGCAGTATGGGGAGGAAAAGAAGAGTACCCAAGTTCCGCACTTCCGCAGGACACTTTCATGCCTTGATGTCTCGGTTTTAACAAAAAATTGTGTTGAGCAACCAAATCCTTTCGATTGATCTGAAACACAAAAATAGTGTATTTCCTCCGGAAAATACACTAAGATGTAGCACAATGTAACACAGAGTAACACTATAAACACGAAAATGTTTAACTGTACAGTGTCTACATGCTTTACGAAGGTACTTTGTCTTGATATGCATGTGGCAGTGTCGCAGCGGAGTACAGGACTTTGTGACACAGGGCTAATGACACCCAGCTTTGCTGCGTTTGTGCGTATATGTAAGCACATACCACGGCTGATAAGGACCTCAAAGGTTAGCACGAGTAAACAGATTACCCGATACGCGGGTCAAGAGGGAAGAAAAGGTCTCTTTTCGGTGGGAAATAACAGGTGCCAGCTGGAATGGCCAGCAGGTGGAATTATCCACTCCTATTCGCTTACATAAATCTTATGTGACGTGCACATGGTGATTAGAATTACAGGTCCGATGGACCGCTGCATTCTTGATAAGGAAGTTTGTGGAGATTTGGCTGTGTAAATGTGCGTATTTTCGTCGCTATTGTGATGAGGACCGTTTTGACTCGATTCCTGCAAAATCATGTGCTCTAGGGAATTAGGATGATTTCAGCAATTCTAGCTGCTTAATTTAATAACTTATTCGAGGACACCTCGTCGTGTTTTAACGTCTGCGTCATCCGTTTAATTTGATTCTGGAACTTCACACGGATCATATTTTTTCTTCTCCTCCTGAGGTAGTCCATGAATACTGCCGTGGTAAGGATAAACACCGTATGAACCTTTAGGCGTTGCCAATTTCCGATCGATAAAACACGAATTTTAGGATAAACTTATGAATATTTCTCGTCCAATTTTTCAGATAGTGTTGTTTGCAATTTCACCTAAAGTTCCTGAAAATTTCAAGGAAAAATATCCATAACTTTCCTCAAAAATGAACATTTTATGAAAGGAAATTTGGTAACTCTCGAATGTTCATACGGCGCACAGTGGATCGAGTCAATCAGAGAAGTTGGACATGAAATTTTAAACTAAAAGTGCAAATTTTGATGTTTAAGTAGTCACAACTTACAGTTTAAGGGGTGCTCCTAGAAGATAATTTCACGAGAAAACTATCGGAAACACTTTTGAAACCTCAAAGTTTTGTATGGACGAAGTTATGAGCTTTTTAAGTTTCCAAATTTTGTCCGACCTTCCCCATTGACTCGATCCACTGTGCGGCGTTCTTCCTTAGCACGGCGGAATACTGGAGCGGTAGTTTCTTGCTTTGGCTTTCCAATTTTTTAAGATCGATAATTCGTAAGAGTGAAATGTAAGTAAATTAAGTTGAAACCCATGAAGCACATAGATTCGTATTATCGTCACCTTTCGGCCAAAGTATCACAAGCGTCATGCGACTTTTCAAAATTTCCGCCGCCATTTTACTTTTTTACAAATGAATTGTTGTTTTACTCTGTTTGAAAATTTCAATGACTTTTATCGGCAGCACAACGAAAATTCAGTGAAATTTCCGGACAGCTTTTGTGAGCAATTTTCCTGTAAAAAAAAATCAAAAGGCGTCGGAAATTTTTAAACGTAGCATGGCGCTTGTAATAATTTGGCCGAAAGGTGACGAATTCACACTCTTTCCAAAAAAGTGATGTCATAATCATGTCCTGCGATACCATTGCGCCCTCCGCTTTGAGCGTTTTTCACATGCTGTGAAGTCGATTTCAGACAATACCTGCATGAAAAAAAGGTATGACTCTGAAACCCATAAAAAATGGCTCGGAGATCCATAATTTCTAACCAAAGTGACTTACCGTCTACAGTATGGCTTTCTGAGCCATACATTATTGGTCGTGAACCTATAAGCATGGCTCCACGAACTATATTTCATATGGCTCTATGATCCATAACTCGGCCGGCAAGTCACTCTTCCCATACTTGTTTTTTGAGTGTGTGGCATTACCGTGTAACTCACAACATTTTACGCAGGAATGCCTAGTTTACAACGTCACTCATCCCTCTGTTTTTGCATGAACTTCATAATGTGAGACAAAGTGGCTTCATTATCTTTCAGATTGTGGTCGTAGTTAGAAAAGGTATCGTGGCATCAAAGATAGGACCATGTAATATTATAGTTGGATGTATTTATGCTAAAAGGAACTATGTGCCTAGGGTTTGTATGCAACATAGTGCCTTTTAGAATAAAGATGTCCAGTTGTTGCACCCGAACCCAGAGAAAGTGTAATTTTCGTTTTAAGGCAGATAAGTTGTCTCTAGGGTCACGCTCAACTCACCCCTCCCCCTCGAGTTTTTTTTATTTTATTTTCATCTTACGTAAGAAAGACGGGTACGGTTTTCGTTTATTCCAAATAGTGCTAAATCATTTCTAAAAGAGCCACCAGAGCCTGCAAACTTGAATTTTTCTTTTTCAAATTCGCGATTTGTCGTCCGCTATAACTTTCTGCTCGTTTTTTGCGCCAAACTTTGCCTTATCGACTGCTCCAAGCTGTACTATGAATTTCCCAGTTCATATTTTCCCCACCCAGATCATGGAACTGGGACTGTCTTAATTGTCTCTTGGAAGGATCTGTTTCGATGAAACCAATCACTTCAATCCCTATTGAATGTTATGAACTCTATTTTATAAAAAGACGACTTCCTCTTTTAACAACTGTAAGAAGTTGACTCCTCTGCGGTGCTGCTCTCGGTCAGTGGCGTGGGGTACTTTGCGATTTATTGATTGATCTGTCATTTCAACCAATGGAAAAGGATCGACGATCAGGGTGTTCGGAACGAACTCCTTATTCATAGATTCTTTACCATAGCTTCAAATGGGGAAATATCGATAGTCGATCATTCACGCCTCGCCACTGAAAATCTTGCACATCTGAGTTCATTATGAAGTCGAAGGGAAGAAACCGGGCTCCATTAAAGAGTCAGAGTCAGCATCTTCGGCAGAGAGGACAAATTAATAAAGGGTAAGATAGTAGAAATACCGGCAAAATCTTTTAATTAAATACGCGCTTTCAATTATTCCAGAATCTGCATTCTCTGCGGGCTTCAAGGACCGCTTTTCAGCCCCTTCAGTACTGTTAGACTGTGCGGTAATATCAGTCAGTTGATGGAACATTGGACGGAGTAAAAAATTAAGTATCGCATCAGCTCATGTTTTCTAATCAAAGATAAGGCAGAGGGACACGTTTAAAAAAAAAAAAAAAAAAAAAAAAAAAAAAAAAAAAAAACTTAATTCTTTGCATTATCCAGAAATTAACTTTCTCTAAATTCGGTTATTTAAATTTCCCACTTGCTAATAAACCCAGTTCTGATTGCATTGAGTCGGCCTCTAATTTCAGTGTTCTGTACGATTAATTAATTTGTCATGTCTCGTGTGCTAAATTTGTCAAGACGAATTCACAAAAAATGTGTTCAGCGCAGGTAGAAGATTTTCTACAATCCTAACTTAGTTATTTTTCAAATGACAAGTTTGTTAGTGATGGCTGATTTGACTTACGTTTATTACGGGGTTTCCACTCTTTTTTTTAACGAGCGGAAATTTTGAATAACCAATCGATGAAACATGAAATAAAACATGGATATCCAAGAAATTAAGAATCTGTGATTATGATGTTTTCTTTTGTTTTTATTTTCATTTCTCTCTCTCTATCTCTACTTCAGTGTCTTGCTGAAAGATTTTTCACTTTTAAATGTCTTATAACTACTTAACTTTTTGTTTAATCGACTGACAAAGCGTGGATAACCTGACAGAATGTCTTAAATTGTTTCTTAAAATTGTTGTCGTTGGCCTTGTTTGCCGATATTTGGTTGTGTTCTTTACCTTTTTTCAGCATCATGCACTCTGTGTTAAATCATTTTGCCAATAAATAAAATATCTAATGATATGAAATGTCTTTATTTTTGCAGCCAATTAAGTATTGAAAACTGGATCATGCCCGCAGCGTACGCGGGTCACTTCAGCAAACTTGTTTGGATAAAGCCCCCGTGGGCGCATCAAATTCCGGACGGCCAGTATAATTTCAGCATCGGGAAAAACAAAAGCAACTCCGAAATTAGGTAAGAACAACCAAATTTCACTTAAATCTAACCAACAATAACATTCCTTCCAGCCGGTGCTCCTTTCGAGAAAACGTTTTGCAGTTTGCCGTTGGATCGAATTGAAGGCTCATTATCTGCAGAAAGGAACCGCTTCGTAATACTTACATTTGCTGCGCTGGAGCCGAGCAAGTGAAGCTTTCAGGTCTGAATAGCTTGAAAGAGGCCACATTTTGTCAGCACACAGTTATGTCTGAAAAAATGGGTAAAAGTCCTTTTTTTTCATTTTATGTATTGAAAATATTGTCTTCGATTTACTTGAAGATCAGACTTTGGTTCTCTTTTTTCTCTCATTGTTAAACTCACTGTTTCTCACTGAAAGCAAATTATTTATGAGTGGGTGAAAGAGATTTTTTTAAAATCCAAATGAAGTGTCTTCTTTTGACTTTAATTCAGATGGAATGAAATTGAGTAGCCTTAGTTTATGAAATTTCATCAATGACAAAGTCATATTTCTTTTAACATACGAATAAATTTCCTTTAAAAGAAAAAAAAAATCATGAACATTTTACTCGAAACAAATTATGCGAGGATATACAATACATTTTTCTTGTAATGAAGAAACAATGGCCAATTCAAAAACAATTCCCTTACTTAAATTCAAGATAATTTGTTCAATCAAATGTGAAAAAAAAACTTTTTTAACCAATTTTTGGCGGTCAGTTTGGATTATTCGAACATTTTCCTCAGCGATTGATCCTTGGCTTATCAGAAATTCTCGTTCTTTCGTAAGGCATTCCAGTTCTTGTAAGAAGAATGTTGGTCGTTTCAAACAGCATTAGAGTGCCGGAAATATAGCGACTGCATTGGCGGAGCCAGCAAATTGGCAACATTGTCTTTTCTCCATTTAAACCTATGGAAACGTATCGATTCGTGGAGGGGCCGGATGCTCCGAGAAGAATCGATTATTTACCATAGGTTTAAATGGAGGCAATCTGGTGTTGTCAAATTGCTGGATCCACCACTGAGCGACTGGACTTTCTTTTGGTCCAAACTGAATTTATTTTCTATCGATGAAGTGAAGTATGATCAACGAAATTCTGGCCATAACTAAAAAATGGAGTACCTTATATTATTTTACTCCTAACTAGAGCTGAAGCAGAACTTTGCATGTAACCTTGTCAATTGCACAACTATTACTCTTATTGCATCAACTACCCCTTGAAGTCCTCTCAACGTGACATTACCTATGAAGTATGTGAGAATGAAACACGTAACAACCTAAACCATCATGATTGGTTGGTAGATACGTTTTTTTGGGTGCTATTAACATCTGAGCCATTCACACCTTAGAGGAGATCGTTTTGTTTCATCTTCTGCATGTTTGAATGCCGTAATCGTTGAAATCATCTGTCCCTGTAGCGCAGTGGATAGCGCGTTGGACTTCTAATTCAAAGGTCGTGGGTTCGATCCCCACCAGGGATGCGTTAAATTTTTCAGTGTCGTGGAGATCGATTCTTAATCAAAGTTTATTGAAAAAGGAGATCGCAGTCATTTTGACTGATTTGGCTCTTTCAAGAATCACCATATTTAAAGTTCAACTGAATATCCGAGATTGGAAGTCAGCATTTCAGTGATATTCCGCTACGTTTTTATTTTGTTTTTCCAAAAAAACGTGGTTGCAAGGATCAGGGAAAACCTGGAAGACCCAATAGAGCCAGGGAATTGAAAACAACCTGGAATGTCAGGGAATTTTACTCCGAGTTAGGGAAATTCTCAGGGATGCTGTTCCACAGTTGTAACCTCCACGGCGCGTTGCCGAGGTCTCACAAATATCTGCCGAAAAGATTATTTTTTTTCTGTCTCCTCCTCTAATTGTTCTTACTTAGGCATGGAATAATTTACAACATTTTCAGGCAACTTGTAAATTGTCATATTCTGATTTTCTGCAAGTTTCAACTTATCATACCTACAATTCCTTATATACTTAAATAAAAAGGGACTTGGTAAATATATTTAAAACCAACTAATTAATAAAACTTAAGTACAATGGTACATTTTAATAAACGAAGTGTAGTCGATGTTCGTTTTATATAACCTTATCTAACCTGCTATGTTTAATCTACTGGATTTTAAAGAGAAAATCTGTGTGTGTCACGAAGATGGCGCTGGTAAGGTTGGACTGGCTCGCATCTGAGCGCGTAGACACTTGGCTGATTAAAAGGGCGTAATGTGATATTTCCTGGTACGGCATTCCCTACATGGAGAGGGGTTCAGAAAATTCTGGCAAATCAGAAAAAGCTTCAGGTTCAAAGTTTATTAATCGTACAGAGTAAAAACTGCAAAATTGAACGTATTGAAGTAACCGACGGACTTCTGTAATTAAAGAAAACATAATAAATTAAAGCCACTAGACGCATCCAAGCGCACCATTATTTCCAAAAGAGCCGAGCCAGTGCTGCGGTTTATATGAGCTTAAGACGTGGGTCTCTAAATCTATCCTAAAAAGGAATAAGAAAAGAACCTGAAAAAAGAAGAAAGAATGAGTGTAAACACAGCCAAAGACAAGAAAGACGTATTCGGGCCTCTTCTCTAACTTTTCTCACGAATCGGAGCGACACCTCAATGATAGCATATAGCGGAGCATTCAGAGCTCACGCTTCGCCTCATCGCGCCTTCAATTCTTCAGACGCAGCACGGACGTCCATCAAGTACGTATAGTTGTATGTCTGCGCCGTCGTTAACGCGCATCCTTTCCCTGCCTCTATTTTCATATTGTATGTGTTTGCGTTCGTCTTTTTCGTAATGGTGCTTCAAACTAGTAATATAGAGCAGAGAAAACCGGCAGTGCAAAAAAATAATACCCAATTTTTTGTCACGTAGATGCATCTGTATCTCATGTTGACCATTTTTTTTTCCTAAGTCGAAGATGACTCTGTCAATGGGTCAGTCGCGCTAATCACAGAGTCATGTCATGATGCTTGCTTCATAAGCTAAAAATGTAAAGCAGCAACTTTCTCCGTTCAATATTACAGGAGGTATCGCGCTTTGAAAAATTCGGTTTTTGACGTCATCCACCGCGGTAGTCGCCCCCTTGGTTTATTCCACCTTGGTTTTATCCGCATTTTATGTAGCGCAACCAGTGCATATGTGTGTATAATTGATTGATGAATCCATGGTGGAAGAAACCAAAAATGTCACTGTCACTATGGCGGATGACGTCAAAAACTGGGTTTTTCGAAGCGCGATATCTCGGTCAATATTGAACGTAGAAAGTTGCTGTTTGGACGGATCTTATCATTTTCAGCTAATTTACAAGAACTAAGCATCGAAACACAATTCTGAGACCAGCGCAACTGACCCATTAGATTCTGGTCCTCGAGTGTCCATACATTTCTACACAAAGGTCCTGCAGCGGGCTTTTTATTGAAATTAATAGACAAAGCGATAGACAAAGAAGACGTAGGGAGTATGGAGCGATCCTATCGGTTGAAATGTGTGGCTCTTATAGACTACCTAAGACACGGACAAAAAAAAGCACGAGTTTGTTGCATGATATGAACATTTCCAATTAATTGTGGTAGTACACTAATTAATTGTGGTAGCACAAGAATTAATCGTGGTCGTCCCCCAATAAATTAGGTTACCAACCCAAATTTTGCGGTACTACCCTAACTTGAGTTGCGGTTCTACCACAATTAATTACAAATGTCCGTATCATCCAACAAATTGTGGTAGTACCACAATTTTAGGGGATAACCCCTAACACTTTTTTTCCGTGGAGAGAAAATGGTGGACTAGCTGTCGGGTTTCTCGTGGGTTGCCGTTAGCCAGTCTATTTACCTACTGCCTTTGTCCATTGCAACCACCCGCTTCCACCAATACGATCCCTCCATGTACTTGTTGTCTTCTTTGCCTATAACTTTGTCTATCAATTTCAACAGCAACAACCAGCTTCCACCAATAGGTTCCTTCCACATCCCTTTTGTCATCTTTGTCAATAGCTTTGTCTATCAATATCAATAATAAGTCCACAGATGGCACTTTGCCGCGCTGCGAAATCCGTCGAGTGCGCTCTCTGTGGGAGCGTGGCTTCACCCGCGGCAGGCGGATCCAATCACGGTCGCAGTGCTAATGACACCTGCAACCTCTGGCCGTCAATGGTCGTGCAAAACAATTAAATCCGCGCTATCAGCTCGAACATTGGCGCGATGAGTATCGCTCGCGCCGCGCATGCGCATCGCTTCTAATTTATGACAAGTTTACTCGCATGATAGTCATCTCGCCCCGTAGCCGCGATAACGTGAACGCAGGCTGCAAATTTTTTACGTCCCTGTCCTCAGTTGCCGGTTCGCAAGATTAAGTCACAAATCCCAGCTCCTTTTCTTCTACACTGAGAAAAAACTATGGCTTATAAACCTATTAGAGGTAAATATGGAACACCACTAATAGTAGTACCTCTACATATAATAATAGCACATATACCTTAGTTATGGTCTCTGTACCTTAATTAGGTACAGAGACCTTAGTATGGTTCACAGACCGAGAATCATTAGTTTATTTACGACTATTATAGGTGTTCCATATTTACCTCTAATAGGTTTATAAACCATAGTTTTTTCTCAGTGTACCTCTCAATCAAGGAATACTGTGAATCGATAATTTAAGGTGATTCGTCATGCTCAAGTAACGTGGTCGAACTGGCCTGCGATGTATCGCATCGATTACTTCAAAAATCTTGTCGAATTTTGAATTTTCAGCAAAAAAAAAAAAAAAGGACGATAGCCCCAGCGCATGAGCCTGAAGAATCATTTTAAACCCAAAACTTGGCAAATTTCAGAGCAATGGAAGCAGAATAGTATTAGGAACAAAACCTCGCATTCGATACAGATACATAGTGTGTCCCAAAAGTACCAAGACTGGTTCTGTAACTTCGAAAGTAAGATAGATACAGACATGATTTTGGTTTCATTTTAAAGATCAACTTAATGCCTATCGATTAAGACCAAGATCAGCTCAAT